ACCGATACAAAACATAGTCAGTATATCTATACACACCTGACATTTGTATGGCTCGAAAGGAAAGTCTATTCTCAGTCCTTCAATGTTTACAATTGGCATTTTGTGTCTAAGACGTATACTCCAGTTATCGTTGCTGAATGAAGAAATATCTTGGCAAAATGTAAAACTTTAGGCAGTTGATTGACACTGAATGCTTTTTATATTATTTGATACTGAACGCCATATAGGTATTTAAGAATTCACATCAGCTTATTCAGTCTGCTATCGATCACGGGTTATATTCCTGTCAGAAGAGAACATGTATGCTTTTAGTATGCTTTTGTCAGATTTGTATTCATCATCGCCAGACTACCATTTGTTCACTGAAAATACTATAGAACCCCTCGAGAGTATGTGTGCTACTAATCCACAGTTGTGAGCTATGTGCCTCATAGATTTTAAGATAGTTTGAAAGAAAATAAATAACAACTCGAGCGCTGCTATTTCTGGTGCTTGAGAGTCGTTTCTAATGAATTAATATCTCCAAACAATGGTTGCTTCACAAGCTCACGTCGAAGTGAATTTGCTTTATGTATGTAGAATTTACTATAGTTTGCTTCGGCTATGAAAGTGAAATACCACTGGTAAAGAAATATTTGAACTCGTGCTTAAGTATATACATGTATGAGCGAGCACTGCGTATCTAAGGGTAGAGTTTAGTTTAATTGCGGTGCGAATAAAGCATGGCAAACCTCAATCTTCCATTTTTTTACGTGTTCGAAGTCACTATTTACATACTTTCTATTTTATCACTATATACCATAGCCTTCTGAAAATAGAACACAGAAGGCTATGTATATTCTGTCGGTATTTTTAAAACCAGTTTGCCCAATATGATAAAATATCTTTAAATTCTCCTAAATACTAGGGTTTATATTTTGCAACTGAAAATTTAATAAAAAAACCCAGATTTTTTTTTTTTGAATTTTTTGCATTTATTTAGTTATTGTACAGTAGCAGTAGCTTGTTTCGCTCGTTCCTGCTTGATGCTGACAGTAGTGACAGACAATATAAAAAATAATGAACTGACAGATTTTAAAAAAGTCAAAACAAAACGAATTTTTAAAACAATGTTGCCATTTTTAGCAAAATATATATTTTGTTTTTAAAATTATATTTTTTTTAAAAGGACTGAGTTGTACATTTCAATGTATTTTTAAAAATAGATAAAAAATAAATCTAAAGTCGCTCGCTTCGCTCGCTCTTCTTCAGTCACAGTGTATTTCTTCGGTTTTTAAACACCCCCTCCCCCCCCAAAACCATAGACATGACTACAGAGGATATGGAATGACGTTTTTTTAACTTTAGAAAAAACAAAATTAAAAAAATCGACTATTTACTTTATTCATTTATATATTTAAAATGACGTTTTTTTAACTTTTGAAAAAACAAAATTAAAAAAATCGACTATTTGCTTTATTCATTTATATATTTATTTTAAAAACAAATTGCAAAACTTCAAACTTGTGAGAGAATCAAAAGGCTCAAGCAGGAGTTGGGCCGCGGGGCAAAGAAAGTACATAAATGGAAGGCCATGGGGTATTTATTTTTTTAACAAAACATAAGAAAAATAGATAAAAACACTCGCTTCTCTCAACTTCCCTCTGTTCATCTGTTGGAGTATTACTTTTGAAGAATATTGTTTCTTTTAGAGAGCTATGATAGTATGAATATTATATAGGTATTAAATATAGGTAAATATATGTAGTTAAAATACTTGACAAATAATTTGAAATCTTTAAAAGAAGGGGGGTGGGGTTGCTTTGCTTCAAAATTAAGGGCCGGTCTTAACGGTTCAAGTTTTGCGTTCAAGTTTCAACACATTTCAAGGCAAAAGGGAGTAAATATACTGTCTCAAAATCTAAAAACCCCTGTTTGTAGAGGTAAATATTAGCCCGTTATAAAGCAAAATGCTGAAGAAAGTCAAGAAACCAGCTCTTTTTAAAAAGACTTTCTAGTAATTTATTTGATTGGTCGTCTTGATTTCACCTTTGGAATCAAAAGTACGTATATTCAGCGAAAATTTGATTTTAAATTAAACCGTACAAGGTTGAAAGTTGAACGCAACTCAAATAAGTCCCGGCTTTGAAGGCCCGACCTATTTGAGTTGCGTTCAATCTTCAACTTTTGAATCGATTCTATTGGCTAACGTGTTTTGAAACTGAATATTTCGAAACTTGAAAGGCAAAACTTGAACCGTTAAGACCGGCCTTAAGTAGCCTACATCATCAATTCATTAGTCAAGCCTACAAACTATGGGAAAAACATTAGTAAAAGTCACTTCCGCTCGCTCCTATAATTAAATTTTTAAACTTTATATATATATAAAATCCCAAAATCATTTAGAATTTAAAGAAGGGATGGCGTGGCCCGCGGGACGGCCGGGGTTTGCTTCAAATTTAAAAAAAGAAGCCTACCGAGTCTACGTCATGGAAGGCTTGGAAGCCGCTTACAAACAACGGGGGAAAACATTAGCATTAAAAAACTAAAAAAATAGAAGGGTCGCTCGCTCGGCTTTTTTTTGGGAGCCGAAGACAGGAAGTGGGGGTCCTGGGGTTTATTTCACGGAGCCTATTTTCATAGCCTTCTATATATTTAAAAAAACCTGTTTTTTATTAAAAACATTTTATACCAACAAAAATCCTTTTGCAACAAGGACGAATAAATTACAGGGACCATGGATTTACGTTTTTGTTTTGAATTATAATCTCATGCATATTGAAAACAAAAACAAAAATAGACTGCGTCTCATTAGGTTGTATTCAGAATACTCAAAACTTGTGTGGCAACATTTTTCTTCTCATGGACGTTTCCACTTTCCATAATTTTTTTCACAATATTGAAATAAAAATACATTTTTCTGTGTGTGAAGGCTTTGCTGATTGCTGAATATTTTTTTGAAATATCGGTGTCCGTCCGGTTTTTGAACGATTTCGAAACAGCTTTTTTATGGAGTAGTTGGCGACTTGGCGGTGCCAAAACTATACTATTATACTTTATATAGTACATCCCCCAGTATAATATAGCGGGTATTATTGACGAGAAACACTTATCTCTTTTATTTAGTTGTAATCCTTGCTCAATGAAAGTCTGAAACTTTGAATGCAGATTGGCATTGCAGAATAAGAAATATGAAATATCACTGATGAATGATAGTGCTATATCATAGGGCAGATAGGCTGATAGCAAGTTGTTATAGAAAAATAAAATTAGGGGAACTATCATTACACTAAACTATCATTACACCAATGACAATCAGTCAAAAAAATATCTTGCCTGGAATCCTGTATCTCTGATTCTTGACTCTGGTTCTCTGACTCTTTGGCTTCGAGGGTTTTGTGTGGGTTTGTTTTGTTGTCACTTGTCACAGTGTCACTCTTTCAGAGTGTCAGAGTGAGACAGTAAAAAGAGTATATTCGCAAAACATATTGAAGTTTAAAACTTCAGAGTTGACTCTGCGGCAGCGGCTTCAATTTGTTTGGGGGTTTTTATTTTTTAAAAGAGAGAAAGACAATATTTTTAAATAATGATAAAAATGTTTTTATTAAAAAGGTATTAATAAATGCTTCAGAACTTCTGATTTCAGAAGTCAAAACCGGACTCGTTATTATTTATTTAAATTTTTATATATTCAGATATTTTGTCCTTTCTCTGTGGCCCTGTGGGGCTGGGAGTGGGGCGCTGGGGCGGCTAGGCTTGTGCCTTCTCGGCGTGGCTCTAACCTCATCGCGCTTCTATTTATAACGTTCCTACATACGTTTTTAAAAAAGGTATCAAATTCCAGGTCAAGCATGTCGCCTAGTTTTGTCCCTATTCTCACTCGTTTATTGATCTATACAGCATTACGTGACTAAGAATATAGTACTAGGCGCACTATCTAGGTCACGCCGACCGATTTTTTAGGCCAATATAGTAGAATAGTACTTATATACGTTACTACGTTTTCTAAAACCGTTAAACGTTATTCATTTAACGTATATACCCCTAGGGCGGAACGTAATGAGCCTAGGTTAGGCCGTTATGGCCGCGTGCGGCTGTGGCTGAGTAGTGCGTGCCGGCGTGGTACAATTCTATTATATTTTTTTTTAAACATATGCGGCCAAAAACATGTGGGTTTGAAGGTTAACAGAGATAAATAGTTGTGATTGGTAGAGATCTAATCAAAGTGCCAACAGTATGTGATTATGTTTTTTATTTTTTAAAATATACTTGCATCAAGTATTTTATAAATATCATTGATCAGGGTGTGCTGTCACTCTGTCAGTGCTCCCTTCAGTGACAGTCCCTTGTCATGATTTTTTTGGTATCCATTTTTATTTTAATAAATCGGACTCGGTTGGTTTGTTTTTTTTAAATTACTCGTCTACTTTCTCTTTTTTTTCTCGAAAATTCTATAATAAAGACTGCCTGCAATCTGCGACTGCATTATATAAAATAATTGGCTGCTTACACCTGTCCTTTTAAGCCTGAGGCTTACGCCTGCCACCTATCGTAAACAAAATTTACAAAAACTGCTAGATTAGCCCTCTGGTTCTATTTCTTCAGCATAAACAGTACTCAATTATTGCAGGGGCCAGGTATAACCGTCAGGTTTAAAGATTTTGGGTCTAGCTGGAAGTCGTTGTGCTGGCAATTGCAACAGGTGGCCATAACGAACAGTCTATATTATTTATATTTATCTTTAGTTATATGTTGTAAAATGGCATTTGTTCAAAAAAAAAAAAATTGCGCGGTGTGTTAAAAAAACCCACAAACCAATCCAAAGTAAATAAAAAATATGTAAATACTGATTGAAGATGAAACCAATCCAAAGTAAAGAAAAAAATGACAATATGTACTAATTGAAGGTGATAAATCGATGGCGTGTGGTCATGCGTGATGAGATTGAAAACGTTCTAGACGTTCGTGTTTCTATATATTTTTAATATTAATTTTTATATATATTTAAAATAGATGTTTAGTGCGGGTTGGGTGTAGAGGGCACCACTTTTATTAGAACGCGCCACAAGTACGTCTCTCAGTATGAAGCTACTTATTGTTCTATCGGTGTACGTTCTCACACTGGCGACGCTAGCGTCTGCTGGATCATCCGGTCCCAACAATGTTTGTGGTGCCGCCTATTACGCAAATTGTCCCACAGGCGACTGTGACCCGCTATGTCAGGGTGTGGTAACAACATGTGAAACGTGTGGTAAATGCGTAGAGCGGAGGACTAATAACGGGGTAGATCAGGTGCGAATTGACATATGGGACTGTAAGGGTAGAGATACAATCAGTTGGATGGCGCCTGTATATACTAACGAATATTGCGACCACTATCAGAAGCAAGAAGGCATCACCCAAGCTGGGGCGTGGTTTGATGTGAAAGGACTCAACACCATTACCATTGACAAGCACGATGGTCAATTCCACGGGTATAATAAGGGATACAAGTGTACTGGAAATAACTATATGGCTTCTGATGGTATTTGTCGACAAGTGATCCCACTAACTGGCGCGTGTGCGTCCACAGGCAACAGTGTGACCACCTGTAGCAGTGTCACGTGTGCGAATGGGCTGAAAAACAGTGTGAACTCTGATACAGAGTGCAGTGACTGTGATGCTGAGTGTTGCGCAACTGCAGCAACGACAACATGTGCGTCTGTAACCTGTTCGGGTGGTGGTTTGAAGAATGGCATGACAGACGCTAGTACATGTACGGATTGTGAGGCGGAATGCTGTTCCGAGGGCTGTGAAGCTTCGGATGGAGAACTGACTCTTATTGTTTACCACGAGTGCGTCGCATAGACATATAGACTGTAATCAGTTGGCTGTATAACGACGTATATGATACTAGTCCCGTGCTCGTCGTATAATTGAAATCGATAGGATCTCAAGTCGGGCGCATATTTTTGAGCAATTTTTAGGTTGTACTCACGATCGGTAAGACCTGGGAGCGAGACTGAAGAGCTTTGCGACGTTGGAAGTTCAAATACAGATACAACAAGCAACTCATCGTGAGATCCAGGTTATACTCATTCCTAGGGCCAAAGGTCTGTGATTACCTCGCATAAGGATAACAAAGCCATGTTGGCATTTTAGTTGAGTGCCGGTCCATTTGTGTGTACAATTGGACGAAGATGGGATCCAAAATGTGTAGGGCTGCCTTTGTACATAACTACTGTATACATAAAAGAAAGGTATAGTCAAGTGGGTCAATGCTACCAACCGGAAGTAGTCCTTTTTTTTAATAGGTGTATTCAATGAGAAATTTCAGACTACCTGCTGTAGCCGCAGTCACCAGTGGGGCAATCTTATCAATCTGAATCAGTCCATTTCGTACCACGCAGAAGATTAGTAGCTAGTAGTATTCTGGCTGCCCTGGTATCTGCTGTGTACACAAATGTGAGCCATAGTACCAAGCAGGAGTTTACGTATGTATATCTGCAAATGAAAGAGGCCGGTGTTCCATAGCCATCTAATTCAAACAGACGTTTTGTATATATATATAACGTATATGACATGTGTCGCACTTTGTTGACGAGTGGTACTGTACAGTACAACAAAACCACCGCGCGTACCGTTTTTTTAATTGTTATGTGCGGTTTCATTTTAACCTCGTCGGCTGGCACAAATCTGACTGAAACGAGAAACCAGAGAGGTGAGCGATAGCTTCGGCTGTAGTCCTGTCGTAGGTAGGCAACATGGTATTCCGATCGCTAGGCTATACCACGTCTGCTTACATTAGATAATGCAAACATCATGGTGAAGGATGTACAGGACTCATGCCACAACAGTCTATACGCTCATCAATAAGTGTTGAAGGCGCAGCGCAGTACCTACCGCGTATTGTATTTCGTTTTACTTATTCCAACAAATTAAGAATGTGCACTGCATTTATATATGTGTGTGTATATGTTAGCAGGTATATATATATATATGCATGTATATGTATGTATATATATAAATATATATATATATACATATATTTATGTATTATATTATACTA